AGGAGTTTTGTGTTGGAGTAAAGCTGAAGGTGTACGGTTAATAAGATGGGCGGTAGTAAGTACACATTCTCCCCAAAAAGAAATTGGTAAATTTCCTTGAAATCTTAACGCTCGAGCAATATTAAGAATGTGACGATGTTTCCGTTCCACTCTACCATTTTGTTGAGGAGTGCCAACACATGTCGTTTGAAAAATAATACCATTGGTAGTAAAGTAATTCTTTAAACAATGGAATTCAGTACCATTGTCACCAGTGGCGGAACCAGAACTGTTTATTAGGGGAGGCTAAGAAATAAATCAAAAGTTTACTATGAATTCAAAATATGTGAAATACAAAATATGTCAAAAAAACATTACTTTGAATTGTTAGATGAAGAAACAAGTTTAGACAACTATGGCTTGCGTGTTCGCATATGTTGAAAAAGTTTCAAAATTGCTTCGTTTCCGATTGTTGCAAAATTTTCCTTCTCCGTGTACATCACCAAACTGTACTCCATGAAAATTTATCGAAGCAAGCTACTTAAGAACATATAGTATCTTTATCACATGCTTTTCGAGGGTAAACATGACTAACCAGTCTACAAGCTAAGTACCCCTTGTTAAATACTTTCTTCAAATTTGATCTCTAATTAAAGAGTCATAGTCATTGATAGTTTGCACATAATCCCGATCACTCACAATATCATTTAGATTAAATTCCCCAAGAGAACATTTTTGCTTATTTCTTTCATCGTTACCTTGTCTAGAAGACCCACCATCATCTCTTAGTAATATAGACAAAGGTAACCTAGAAAATTAAAATAAAAAAATCTTAAGTTTCAAATTACGAATAAAAAATTGTAAATTTACACATGACACATATATTTGTGAATAATAGTCATTCTTGTTTATTTAGGTTATTTAAACTACTAAAATAGTTTAAGCCTAATTAGTAAATCAGTATAAGCCTAATTGTTAAATTTCTAAAAGCATAAATCAAATTAACAATTCAATTAAAAAGAATTTATACTTCCATTCCCTTGTGGCCTAATTCGTATAGCATCAATTCAAATTTTGAAAGAAGTTACTTAGTCAACAACTCAATAAGTCAACAAACGTAAAAAAAAAGCCAACAAAAAGCCACCTCCTTAATCGTTGCCTGCCTCACAGACTGGGCACTCCCCTGCGGCCCTGCGTTTTTCCTAGCCAATCCCTCGCTCTAGCTGACGTTTAAGCTCCAAACTCCTTAGGTTTTAGCTCTTTAATTTTCTAAAATATACGGGGTATCTTAATCACAGGCCCAAGTCCCCAACTGCCCATTTAACCTCTAAAGTTTGACTGTTGGACCATGTCGTTTTTTAATTTTGTTTCATTTAACCAAACGATGCCGTTTGGAACTGTACTTTAAGTTATAAAAAAACAGCTGGAAGGTCAGAAGAAAAGACTGGCGTCGATGCACAGATCTCCCAAAGTGGTACAGAAGGGTGCGAAGGTAGAAGATGACCGGGGCTCCATGGAATTTCTACATATATGTACCTAAGAATTTCCGGCAAAGGGGTGGCGCCGGCACCGGCTCGCACCCCCCTGGTTCCGCCCCTGATTGTCACTACGTACCATGGATATTTTTCTAGAAAATTGACGGTCAACCATTGCCACAAATGACATGAATATATCATATACCTGAGTTTTATCAAGCAACAAATAAACCCAAACAGCTTGAGAAAAATCATCCACTAGCGTTAAAAAACATTTAGCGCCACATGAAGAGGGAGTATTATAAGGCCCCCAAACGTCACAATGAATAAGTTCAAATGTTCTGGTAGTTTTATTGATGCTCAAAGGAAAAGAATCCCTTGACTGTTTTGCCTTATGACATATTTCACACGGGTTAGAGAAATTCTTTTTAGGAGCATCATTGGGAAATAACCACTGTACAATACTTTTAGAAGGGTGTCCCAAACGTTGATGCCAAACATTCATAGTTGTAGATGAGTTTCTGACTGCAAGAGCTTGTGTTACACCTTCCGTACAGAAATAATAAAGTCCATCCCTTTGTTCACCCAGCCCAATCACTTTCTTCGAGTGAAGGTCCTGTATAGCACGTACAAATGTTAAATGAAAATTGTACAAAGCATTTATTATCTTTAATAAGTTGAGAGACTGAAAGTAAGTTGCACTTCACTTTCGGCACAAAGAGTACGTTGAGTAACAAAAAATCCTTTGATAATAAAATTCTTCCAGCTTTGTTAGCTACTGACTGTTGGCCATTAGGAAGGGTAACCATATATGCGAGAGGGGATATCATATACATGCAGGAGGTTTAATAAATCACCCGTAATATGATTAGAAGCCCCACTATCTATTATCCAAGAGGTAGATTCAAACGTACCAGTCATACGGCAAGACGGAGAAGAAGAACTACCGAAAGCGGCAAATAGAGACTGCCATTGATCATGTGAGAAACCCGGCAGAGGTCCGTACATGGGCTCCATAGGTAAGGAGTTGGCAGATGTTGACCCTGTAGCCAACATGTCAAAACCGCTATCTCCAGCGGCGGAAACAACATGGGCACGAGTGGACCCATTTGGGCGTCCCATCTGGCGTGGAGGTCCACTTGGGTGGCGAAGCAGTGACTGATTGCCTTGGTTTCCTGTAGAGCCGCGATAATCTGGACGCATTTCAAGCTGTAGAGGAGAAAAGTTGGAGCCTGTTTCACGAGCTGGCTTCTTGGCAGTTGCATGTGAAATTCTTGGGCGCGGGCCCCACCATTCAGGATACCCAATTATTTCAAAGCAGCTAGATAATTCATGCCCACGTGACTTACAATGTGTGCATAAGAGATTAGTTTTGTCAATCTTATGATCTGGTTTTGGCCGCCCACCATGCACGGCAAAACCCAAAATTTCAGAATGATCATCCTTATTTTTATTTTGCATAATTCCCCGTACCCGCTCTTCTTGAGATATTTGTTGAAAAACACGATTAAGTGTGGGGAGTGGAGTTTGTGAGAGCAGTTGAGATCGTATTTGACCATAAAAATCGGCGGAAAGACCCATCAAAAATTGATGAAGTCGTTCCGACTCTCGTCGTTGTTCATGCAAGGAGTTGATTTTACATGTACACTTTCCACAACACGCAATTAATGGTTCATAATTATTGAGTTCATCCCACAACACTTTCAATTTTCCATAGTAAATCGCAACAGTTTGAGTTTTAGATTGCTCACAGTGGGCAATATCAGATTTAACTTGGTGAATTTTAGGACCATCAACAATGGAAAAACGTTCTTTCAAATCATCCCAAAGTAGTTTTGCATCATCAAATTTTGAAAGAGTAGTTTTTACCTCAAGAGATATCGTGTTTAATATCCAAGAGACTAACATGGAGTGTATTGTTAGCCAATCTTCCTCAGTCCAAGGAGGTGTTGGTTCAGTGATGGTGCCGTTGATAAATACAAATTTACGTCTAGCCCGAAGAGCAAGACGAACGGAGCTTGACCAGTCATCATAGTTATCGCCGGTAAGACGGACGGGAGTAATAAAATCTCCTGGTCGATCTTGAGGTCCTAAAAAGAAAGGAGATGTGTACTCCATTTTTGGAGAGGAGGATATGGCAGAGGATGGTTCTTCTTCCCCGATGGCCATAGAAGAAAATTCAAAGAAAGAATATAGCTAAATGATAATGCTCTGATACCATGTTGATTTGATATAATTGGCAAAGCAAATCCAATCGTATTACATTCACAGATAATGCAAGTATATATAAGACAATACATTGGGTTCATAATAATTCATGGGGGGACCTACTAATAATGCTAAGGGCTAATGAACAAACGTATACAATAGTAATAACAATAATTAATAATAATAATAATAATAGCTCTAATATAAGTTAAGCTGGAATGCGAGAAAAACCTTCAAATAGAGGCGTTTATGTTTGATGTTTCTTATGAGTCAAGTCGGGTGCTTCAATTCGGATCCTGTTCACTGGAAATAGCTGCCGGAGAAGAAACAAGCTGATAAGAGAATGAAGGGACGGTAAGGCCGAGAAGATTGAAGATAAAGATATTGAAATGTATGATAGAAAGCCTTCTCCGTTTATCAAAATACAACAGTTTACCTAGCTATATATCAACCGGCTGGTTTACCGATCGAGAAGACAGAATGTGGAAACATTGAATGGAAGATGTTGAACTGTTGAATTGAAGTGCCGGTAAGGCGATTCAAGTTTCCCGGCGGCGATTCAAGTTCACCTCTCAAGTTTCCGGCCAGAGAGGAGGCGCCTGCAAAGAGAAACAAGCTGAGAAGATTGAAGATAAAGATATGGAAATGTATGACGGAAAGCCTTCTCCGTTTATCAAAATGCAACAAGTTTACCTAGCTATATATCAACCGGCTGGTTTACCGATCGAGAAGATGTTGAACTGTTGAATTGAAGTGCATGCCGGTAAGGCGATTCAAGTTTCCCGGCAGCAATTCAAGTTCACCTCTCAATTTTCTGGTGGTGATCTCCCAAACGATCGAGAATGAGAGAGACGATTCAAGTTTCGGCCGGCCTATTTTAGTAGTACAGGTCTGGCGTGTTTATGCTACGCTGCCCATTACTGCAGACTGTACGCGGTGATGGAGAAGTGGTGGCCGGTTGTTTGTTAGAGAAATGATCATTAGCCTTTTTTGTCCAGACACGGGGTATATTTTCTTAACTCTTTGTCTTAAAATTTGTTAGCTATATTATTATAGCTATATTATTATTAGTTATTGTTAATTTATGTACATAATTTTTGTAACACTTTATTATGTATATACGCACGTAGTGGTAGACTTAGAATAGGAAAGATTTAGTCATTAATGTTTTCCATTCTTTTCTCCTTTGTAAACGTATAGCAGTACTACGTACTAGGAAAGGGATGATGGGCACTACCTGTATAAATCAGATGCTTCATTCTCGATTGAAGGACATGATCAATAATAGAAAATTCCCTCATATTTGCTTCGTATTTTACATGGTATCAGAGCGTCGATCAGGGACCTACTGATCACGTTGCTGCGACAAGGAGATGGCCGGCGAAACAGGGAGCGTCGGTGCGGAGGTGGTACTTCATAAACCCGCATTCACCGACGAACAGTGGCAGACTTTTATCAAACTAATGGAAAATTGTAAGGCTACCTCCTCCGGGGAAAAGCTCACAGGTATGAATCCTGATAACGAGTGGCTTCTTGACTCAGGGGCCTCGTATCATATGACAGGAAATTATGATGTATTGAAGGAATTGGTGCAAATTGCACCTGTGGCAGTAATATTGCCAAACGGAGAACATACTGAGGCAACGCATGTAGGGAGTGTGGCTATCAGTACACGTCTGAAATTAATTCATGTTTTACTAGTGCCTGGACTTAAATGCAATCTGATTTCCTTGGGGAAATTAATTGATGACCGAAAATGTGATATATTTTTTACTAATGACATATGTGTAATACAGGACCTATCTACGAGGATGCCGATTGGAGTGGGTGAACGACGAGGGGGAGTTTATTTTTTTCCGGGGTTTGGATCAAACACGAGCGCATGCAGTGGGGAGTTCAGATTCAGGAGATTTGTGGCACTCAAGGTTGGGGCACCCGTCAATGAAAGTACTTCGTTTACTTGGTAGTTTAAATAAGCCGTTGTTGAATTCTGATCAAAATAAAATTTGTGATGCCTGTATGAGAGGCAAACAAACTCGTGATAGTTTTTGATGTTAGTAATGCTAGAGCTGTTGAACCGTTTGAATTAATTCATTGTGATGTTTGGGGTCCTTATCGTGTTTTGTCTACTTGTGGTGCTCGATATTTTCTGACTGTGGTGGATGATTTTTCTAGAGCTGTTTGGGTACATTTAATGCATGAAAAGAGTGAGGTCAAAAATATTCTTAAACAGTTTATTGCCATGACAAAACGACAATTTGACAAAAATGTGAAAGTTGTTAGGAGCGACAATGGCAAGGAATTTGTGAGTCTCCAGGAATATTTTGTGACTAACGGGATTATTTTTCAAACGTCTTGTGTTTACACCCCTCAACAGAACGGTAGAGTAGAACGGAAAGATAGGCATATTTTGGAAATGGCTAGAACTCTTCGTTTTCATACAAATCTACCTATTGATTTTTGGGACGAATGTGTGTTGACTGCGGGATATTTAATCAACCGGTTACCAGAGCCGGCTATAGCCCCAAGGCAGTTAGGCAAGTGCCTAGGGCATCACTTATAGAGGGGGCACATTTTAAGGGAAAAAATACGTATATATGTGTAGCCACAAATTAAAATGGTATAAAGAAACAATCTTATTAATAAAGCAAAGTGAACCGAGGAAACAAGCAACTTCTATAATGTCCAAGCGAATTAAATATGGAGTCCTAATGGAGCTGATCGATGTTTTCTAAAATTTGGAATTCTAGATATCCATCAAATTACTCTATATCATTTATTTCATATCGTAGATACATCCAATTTATTATTTATTTTCCAATCATCATGTTAATGTCCTTTAAAAAAGTTATCATGTCCATATCACAAATAGTACTACGTAGTAGTTATGTTTATTTGTAATCTAATTTCATTTTATTTATCTGTATTCTAATTAAGGTCTTTTTAGTGATTTTTTTCTTGCTAACTTGTGTTTTTTAATGGTGTACAATTGTATTAAAAGTCTGTTCTCGAAGTTATTAATTATCAAATTCATTTTGAAATTTAACCTTTTTCATTATTGGTTAAGGTACTACTACCCGCCTTCATCCATTTTTAATTAATCATATTTAATTTATCTAGATCGTGATGTTAAACTTTGGTCAATCATTTTAACTAATATATATGTGAAATTTATAAATTTTATAATGTAATGATAGAATTTTTAACAAGGGCCATTTCATGTTGTAAATGTTTTTATATATAAAAGGAAAATGATCAAATACAACTTTCTACTATTATGGAATCGTCACATAAGGCCATTACTCAATAAAGTGGTCAGATAAATTCGTCTACTTATAAAAAGTAATCAGATGAGTCCTAACGACTCATTGGCAACCTACTAATCCCGACTTTAACTTACATGTTGTTATTTTTGCGTTGTATTGAAGTCAATTCTGACTAAATATTCCATGTCAAATCGGAATTATGAGGTGGTCAAAAGGTCGTTAGGACTCATCTGGTTACTTTTTTATAATTAAGTAGACATATTTATATGAAATTTTATTGAGTACACAACCTTATGTGACGATTCTGTAATAGTAGAAGACCTTATTTAATCTTTTTCTCGTATATAAATATATTATTGATTAAAATTGAGTATCATTGACTAGGAATAAAAATAATTAATTAAAAAGGGCATATAGAATATTTGATTATAGTCTTTGTCTAGGGCACCAAAACCCTCCAAGACGGCCCTGCCGGTTACCGTCACATGTGATAGATAATAAAAGTCCTTATGAATTGCTATATAACAAATTACCGGTATATAGTCAATTACGGGTCTTTGGTTGTCTCTGCTACGCACATGAACCAAACAATGGAGGTGATAAATTTGCACCTCGGGGTGTAAAATGTGTATTTTTGGGGTACGCTTATTCACAAAAAGGCTGGAAAGTTTATGACTTGGAAAAACGGCGTCACTTTGTTTCACGGGATGTGAAATTTTTTGAGCACGAATTTCCCTTTAAAAGTGGGGAACTCCTCATGGACACATATAAGGCTCCTGAAAGTGACATGCATGCATGGGAAATGCATGTTCGTAGACATGCAGATGATGATGATTGTAAAAGTGGTAACATTGAGGCAGAGGCTAGACAACATGCATCCATGACCGACTCCATGATGCATTCGGATACTGCCACCATGGACACTGCTGCGGATACACATGATGATGCCCAGGTTCGACGAGGAGCGCGTCCACGTAAGGCACCAACGTGGCACAAAGACTATGATGTACAATTGAACACGGTTAAAATAAACTCTCACCCCATCAGTGTCCCCGTTACCACGGCAGCTTCAGGTACTCCTTATTCACTATCTCATTATATAAAATATGATCATTTTTCGGTTCCGCACCTAGCTTTTCTTGCAGCAATTTCCATGACTACGGAGCCCAATAACTTTGGAGAAGCAGTTCGTGATCCTCAATGGAGGGAAGCTATGAGTCGAGAAATTCAGGCGCTTGAGCGTACTGGTACGTGGGAGATCCAGGACTTGCCACCTGGGAAGAAAGCTATCTACTGCAAATGGGTGTACAAGATTAAGTACAAAAGTGATGGGTCGGTGGAACGATACAAGGCACGACTGGTGGTTTGCGGGAACCGCCAGGTGGAGGGAGTTGATTATAGTGAGACGTTTGCTCCGGTAGCTAAAATGGTTACGGTTCGTACCGTTTTGGCAGTAGCGGCTTCATGTCATTGGGAATTGCATCAAATGGATGTTGATAATGCCTTCCTACATGGTGATCTTCATGAAGAAGTTACATGCACCCACCGCCGGGGTACTCTACCTCTTCTCCCGACAAGGTATGTCGCTTGCTTAGATCACTCTATGGTCTTCGCCAGGCGCCGAGATGTTGGTTTTCTAAGCTCACTTCTTCCTTGCGAGATTATGGCTTTTACACAATCCCATGCAGATTATTCCTTGTTCACCAAACGCAAGGATAACCGTATCATTTGTGTCCTCATATATGTGGATGACTTGCTAATTACCGGGAATGATCGCACCATGATAGATGAATTTAAATTGTATCTTGCTTCCACTTTTCCTGTTAAGGATTTGGGGGTCATGAAATATTTTCTTGGAATTGAGGTGTAACACCGTCCCCAAATGTATTTACTTTTATGTAAATGATGTAATAAACCTTATGGAATGATTTATGAATTTACGAAGTTGTAAATTTTTATTTATTCTTTCGCGTGAATAGTAAATTGCACGTGGGACCCACACCGGGAGCGGGGGCCGCCCGATTTTCCCGAGACCATACATTTTATTCATCATGGTCTAGATAATAAATATGTAGTGGTGGATATTTCATTTGGGCCATGGAAAGGCCCGGAGTTGACCGATTGGTCAAAAGAAGCCCAAATTACCAGTACTGGTAATTTAACTGATAACAGCCCGAACTGAATTTCGGAGGCTTATAAATTAAAGTTGGGGAATGTATATTCATTATACATGTCATAATGAGTAAGAGCACATAATATATTTTATTTGACCCGATAAAATAAAATATATTTAAAACAGTCCGAAAAATACAACTTTCGGGACCGATTGTACACTTCGGGACACAAAGGGTTGACCTCCCACATGAGTGGGGGCCAACCCACGAATTTGGACACTCAATATGGGGTGTTGGCCGCTGGAATGGGAATAGGAAGGTGGGAGGTGTTGGAGATTGAATGGAAAGGCATCAAAAGTACCTAAGGTGGACCCTCATTTTGCACTCATTGGATTAATGAGACAAAAGTCCATTCTCATCCCCCTCCCCTCTTCATTTTCGGCCAAGCTACAGCAAGAAGAGAAAGAAAACTCTTCTTCTTCCTTCCTCCATTGTTGAAGAGAGCTCATCAAAGAAGAATCACCCAAAAAGGAGCTAAAGTGCTAAAAGTGTGAAATAATTAAGGTAATGACCTTATTATAACTTTTTCTTTATTTTTCTTCTACCATATGAAGTATATAGCATATGAAGAACCTTTAGTATGGTTCCATATGCTATAAGTATGGATTCATGGGTTGGAAGGTGGTTCTACGTCCAAAAACGGACTTAGAAGCCAAAACGACCGGTTCACCGGAAAATAACCTTTTAGAGGTTATTTGTATTAATATGGGTTTTATGATTATAAAACCTTGTTAGGCACTTGTAAAGGGTATTTCAAGTGATTTCACAAAGTTGGAAAAGTCGCCGGAGTTGTCGCCGGAGTTGACCAAAAGTCGCCGGAGTTTCACCGGAGTTCAACCAAGAAGGGTGGAACTTCATAACACTAGTTCAAGGTGAGTGGACGGCTTAATATCTTATAACTTTTGGGTTAATTATGAGATTACCTAAATAAATGTTATATGAGTTCATAATGATGTTTAAAAGATATTTAAACATGTGATTAGCCAATAGGGTTAAGTTTGTATAAAAGAAATAAATGATTTATGCATGGAATATGATATGAGGAATTACATAAAATCCATATTTGTTTGAAAGGTATAAGGAACACCAAATGAACATTATCAATTTAATTACATGATGATTAAGTTGATAAGTGTAAGACTTGAAATGGCGGTCAACGACACCGTTGACCGGTGGATAATGGATTAATTAATATCGGTTGATATTAGTTAGTTATACATTTATAGAATCGCATGGTTTTGCATGGATTGTGATACATAAGCTTTATGTATTGAATTAGTATGAGTAACTAAGTGTGATATAAACTCTATCTAGGTTGATAGAAGGTTGATCATAGGAAAATATTTTGGTGGAGGACCCTAGTACTCAAAAGTACTTAACACTCAAAATTTGGTGGAGGACCCTAGGACTTAAAGTCCTTAACACTCGGATTATAAATTGGTGGAGGACCCTAGTACTTAAGAGTACTTAACACTCAAACTTGGTGGAGGACCCTAGTACTCAAAAGTACTTAACACTCAAAATTTGGTGGAGGACCCTAGGACTTAAAGTCCTTAACACTCGGATTATAAATTGGTGGAGGACCCTAGTACTTAAGAGTACTTAACACTCAAACTTGGTGGAGGACCCTAGTACTTAAAAGTACTTAACACTCAAAACTTGGTGGAGGACCCTAGGACTTATGAGTCCTTAACACTCGCAAACCGGTGGAGTACCCAAGGATTATGATCCTCAAAACTCATAGATTATGATATTGAAATAGGGACAAGGAGGAGTCCTATACACTCATTGGTATATGGGTGGGTTGGGGTTTTTAGTCAAGAATATTGACTATTACTATTCTTCCCAAATAAAATGGTGATCTACGGATCGGATATTTTCCAAGTATATATTTATACTAATAAGTATTTCATAACTTGGGGGAAAGACTATCTATTTAAGTATCACCCTATGTTTGGGTCTTATACTTGAAACGCTAGTTATTCTATATTTAGCCTGCTACTCGCTCGGTACTTGTACTGACCCCTTCGGGGCCCCCCACCATTTTCAGGTTGAAGCTAGGGCTTGCTACTTGCACCTTCTCACGGGTGGTATCAAATCAGGAAGACGTGGTTCGTGCTTCCTTATTTTCTTTCAAACTACCGAACACTTGCTCATGGATATTTGTTCTACTATAAACTATTTTTGGGGCTTGCATGCCCATGTTGTTGGCCGGTTGTGGCCTATGACTTACCGTTGAATATTTTCCGCTATTCATTGGTTTAAATGTGATGTTGTTATGTATGTTTACTACTGAGTATGGATGGATTGTTTTCTCGAACGCCTTGTGTAATTGAGTGAGGTTGACTCGTGGGTGACGTCACTTAGTTATACGGCGGTTGTACACGCGCTTGGATTGCGGTCTGGGGCGTGACAATTAAGTGGTATCAGAGCCATCTCAGTTCTAAACTATATAATCAACCTCTCACAAAAGATTTTACAAAAGAGTTTTTGCCGAAAACCATGAGCATTGTATTTTGACGTTTATAGGACTATTGGTGCTTAAGTTGCAAGGCCTCTAATTGTTAAGACGGTACCCTTAACAATTGGTATGGTAGTGACTTGGGCCAATACGTGTCTGTAACGTTTTTCCGTCAATTGACATTTATAGGAGTCTAATGACTCATCCATATTTCTTTCAGAAATGGAGGGCAGGCGAATGCGAACCAGGAACAATCCGAAGGGGCAGACGCCGGTAGCATCCCAAAGGGGGAGCCGGGCTGCATCTCGGGGTTCAAGAGGAGGCCGTGGAGGCCGTGGAAGCCGTGGAGGTCACCAAGCTCAAACTGTGAGTGAGGGCCATGTAAGCTCGGTGTATGAAACCAACACCGAAGACTACGACTCTACATATGTTCCGGAAACGGAGCACGAGGAGACCCCATATGATGGGGGTGACACATACACCGATGATGATGATGAAGAGAGTGATGCCAAGTTCGCCCAAATGGGCGAATTGCTTGAGTGGTATCAAAAAGAAAAGCTGAGGAGAGACCTTAGGCGCCAAGCAAGGCGTGGCTCTCGCGGTGGTTCGGGTCAAGGAAGCCGGGGAGCTTCAAGAGCCACTCCCGTGGCGCCACACGATGGGCGTGAAGGAGGTTTTTGTGTGAGAATCTCCAAGTACCTCAAGGAGGCTAGGGCCTTGGGGTGTAAGTCCTTTGACGGCACCGGTGACATTACCGTTGCCGCCGATTGGATAAAGAAGGTGAAGGATGCGGCAAAGGACATGCAAATTTCACCGGACGTGAAGTTGACTGTTGCTTCACGGCTGCTTGAGGGGATAGCTTCCACGTGGTGGGAGAGTGTGGAAGGAAAATACCATGGGGAGGTCTCATGGTTGAACTTTGAGCAGGAGTTTTATGACCAATACTACACTGACTATGAGAAAAATGTCAAGCGTAGGGAGTACACCAACCTCAAACAGAAGGAGGGTGTGTCTGTTAAACAACTGGAGCAAGATTTTAGAACCTTGGCTAGGTTCTTACCGGAGTACGCGATCAATGAGGACCGCATGTCGGAGCACTTTTGGGATGCCTTACTCTTGGACATCCGTGATCGGGCTACGTACTCACGCCACATGACCTTTAGCGAGGTGGTGGAGCAGGGCCTTCTTGGGGAGGCTCAATGGAATGAGAGAAAAGAAAGAGACGCCGAGGAGGCGAAAAAGAGAAAATGGCATAATTCGGGGCCGCCCGAGCAAGCACGGAAGAATCACCACGGTGGGGGTGGGGGTACGTTCAAGGCGCCGGCACCACCGGCGAAGAAGAACAAGGATGCTCGGTGGCACGCATCCTCCTCTCAAAATACGGGGCCTCCTAAGTGTGCCAACTGTTCAAAGAACCACTTCGGGAAGTGCAACGCACCCCCGAGGTGTTATCGGTGTGGGAACACGGGCCACATGAAGGCCAATTGCCCACAATTGGGGGGAGGAGGAGCTCCGGGATCCGGAGGAGGAACCACGACGGGAAGGAACCGTGCGGGGCCGTCAAACGGCGGCACGGGAAGAGGCGGCGCATCCACAAGCCATGCCGCATCCGTCAACCAAGGTGGGACCCAAGCCCGAGTGTACTCGATGACCGAGGCGGATGCGAGAGCAAACCCGGACTCCGTTGCAGGTAATACACGTATTCCCATGTATTTCTAGGCTTACTTTGATCATAAACATCGTTGGGAGTGAGTGCGGGCCACCCCGGGGTTGAACCGGGGGAACTTCGGACAACTTTGGCCTGCTAGGACCCAGGCACGATCGTGCCTAAGGCAGGCACGATCGTGTCTACAGGCCAGTAGCTATCTGCGGTTTTTCCTAACCCAGGCACGATCGTGCCTAAGGCACGCACGATCGTGTCTACGGGTCAGTGGCGATCCGCGTTTTTCCAACCCAGACACGATCGTGCCTAAGGCACGCACGATCGTGTCTGCAGTGCAGTAGCTCCCTGGCTTCTTCCCGAGCCAGGCACGATCGTGTCTACCCCAGGCACGCCGTGCCTGGCACCCAGAATGCCAAAAGCCGGGTTTTTAGCACCTTTTCGCGACGTTAAGACCTTTTCTTGATCAGTAAGGTGGGTGTGAACATTGTAACCTTCTTTAAATGAGTAAGGAGGGTAGGAAAGATGTCTTACATGGTTCATGAATGTAGGGACATTAAAGATCAATGGTAGGTGTGCGAGGATCCTCATCGATACCGGGGCACAACGCTCATTTGTGAGTGAGGCGTTCGCCGGGGGCCTTGACGTGCCATTGACACCTATGACGCAAACGTTGCTAGTCTCCACACCGTTAGGGGACGATGTGGAGAGAAATCATTACTATCCATCATGTGAGGTGGAAGTGACGGGCCAACCTTTGACTTGTGATTTCGTACCTCTAAGCATGTTGGAGTTCGATGCAATCCTAGGAATGGATTGGCTTGAGAAGCACCATGCTCGAGTAGATTGCTACACCAAGGTGTTGGAGCTCGAGGATGAGCAAGGAAACATGCTATGTTTTGAAGGAGATCGGGGGAAATCTAATGCTTGTATCATATCCGTGATGAGAGCACGAAAGATGATGAGGAAGGGATGCCACGCATACCTTGCTTACGTGGTAGATAATACGAAGAAAGAAGTCGACATCAAGGATGTTCGAGTCGTGTGCAAGTACCCGGACGTCTTTCCCAAGGACCTACCGGGGCTTCCACCCGATAGAGAGATTGAATTTGTAATCGAAGTGGAGCCGGGAACCAAACCCATTTCGATTCCTCCTTATCGAATGGCACCGGCCGAACTCCAAGAGTTGAAGGTCCAACTACAAGAATTACTGGACAACGGGTTCATCAGACCCAGTCATTCACCGTGGGGGGCACCCGTACTCTTCGTGAAGAAGAAGGATGGTACACTAAGAATGTGTATTGACTACCGACAATTGAACAAGGTCACAATCAAGAACAGGTATCCCTTACCGAGGATTGATGACTTGTTTGACCAACTTCGGGGGGCAATAGTGTTCTCGAAGATTGATTTGAGGTCGGGGTATCATCAGTTGAAGATCAAGGAGAGCGACATACCTAAGAGTGCATTCCGCACTAGGTATGGTCATTACGAGTTCCTTGTAATGTCATTTGGTTTAACCAACGCACCGGCGGCATTCATGGACTTGATGAACCGGGTGTTTAGTGAATACTTAGATCAATTTGTGATAGTATTCATTGATGATATCTTGATATACTCCAAGAGTGAGGAGGAGCACGAGCATCATTTGGGGCTTATACTTGATCGACTAAGGGAAAAGCAACTCTTTGCCAAGTTCTCTAAATGCGAATTTTGGCTCAAGGAGATTGGTTTTCTCGGTCACGTCATATCTGGTTCGGGCGTAGCTGTGGATAGCGCAAAGATAAAAGCTATCATGGATTGGGAGAGACCCAAGAATGTGAAAGAGATACGTAGTTTCCTTGGCTTAGCGGGATACTATCGTAAATTTGTTGAAAAATTCTCCGTATTGGCGTCTCCATTAACGAAGCTCACAAAGAAAGGGGCCAAGTTCATATGGGACGACAAGTGTGAGAAAGGGTTCCTTGAACTGAAGAAACGACTTACCGAAGCACCAGTCCTTGCCCTACCCATACAGGGGATAGGGTATGACATTTACAGCGATGCTAGCATCCAAGGGCTTGGATGTGTACTAATGCAAAACGGTAAGGTGATTGCCTATGCTTCTAGGCAATTGAGAAAACACGAGGTGAACTACCCTACTCACGACCTAGAGTTGGGGGCGGTAGTGTTTGCATTGAAGATTTGGAGGCATTATCTCTACGGGGAAACGTGTCACATTTATACCGATCATAAGAGCTTGAAGTATGTATTCACTCAAAAAGAGTTGAATATGAGACAAAGGAGATGGATGGAGTTGATCAAGGACTATGACTTGATTATCGACTATCATCCCGGAAAGGCCAACGTAGTGGCCGACGCACTGAGCAGGAAGAGTACGTCAGGGACGTTACTTACTTGTCTGCAGGCATTGAGGGCACGCGTGGAGGTGTCCACGTGCGGGGCTCTCATTGCTCAATTTGAGGTTAGGCCCACCCTATTGGGCGAGATTAGTCGAAGTCAGGCCATGGATGAGGAATGTCAGAAGATCCGTGAAAGGATCCTTGCGGGGCCCGTTGAGAACTTCCGGGTACGTGATGACGGTCTGTTATTGTTTAAGGATCGTGTGTGCATACCAAGGAATGAGGAACTCCAGAAATCTATACTCGAGGAGGCTCATTCTTCAGCTTATGCTATGCATCCAGGAGGTACTAAGATGTACCGAGATTTGAAGGAAAGTTACTGGTGGTCAGGTATGAAGAGAGACATTGCTGAGTATGTGAGTCGGTGCCTTACTTGCCAGCAAGTTAAGGCAGAGCATCAGCACCCGGCAGGGCTGTTGCAGCCACTCACCATCCCAGAGTGGAAGTGGGAGCACGTGACCATGGACTTCGTGGTGGGGCTACCACGAACAGTGAACAACTATGATGCAGTTTGGGTAGTGGTTGATAGGCTCACAAAGAGTGCACACTTTTTGCCTATCAACATTACTTATCCTCTTGAAAGATTGGCCAAGCTTTACACGGAGGAGATTGTGAGATTACATGGAGTCCCGATATCCATTGTCTCGGATAGGGATCCACGATTCACATCCCGATTTTGGCCAAAGTTTCAAGCATCGCTGGGTACTAAACTGAAGTTTAGCACAGCTTTTCACCCACAGACGGATGGACAGTCCGAGCGGGTGATACAGATTTTGGAAGACATGCTTAGGGCATGTGCTTTGGAGTTCCAAGGAAGTTGGGACAAGCATTTGGCCCTAGTGGAGTTTGCTTATAACAACAGTTATCAAGCAAGTATCGGCATGCCTCCATATGAGGCATTGTATGGGAGGAAATGTAGAACACCGTTGTGTTGGGACGAGGTTGGCGAGGCCAAACTCGAAGGGATAGAGCTGGTTGAGATTACCAAGGCCAAGGTAAGGATCATTCGGGATAGATTGAAGGCTGCTCAGGACCGACAGAAGAGTTATGCTGATAAACGGCGGAGACCGTTGGAGTTCGAAGTCGGTGATGAGGTCTTCCTAAGGATTTCTCCTTGGAAGGGCATCATTCGATTTGTATCGAGGGGAAAGCTTAACCCCCGATACATTGGTCCATTTGAGATCCTTGAAAGGATTGGAGCCGTGGCTTATCGTCTCAAGTTAACGCCGGAACTTGAGAAGATACATGATGTGTTCCATGTATCAATGCTCAAGAAGTACATACGGGATCCCTCTCATATTCTTGAGAAACCGCCAGTAGAGATCCGTGAGGATTTGCAATATGCGGTAGAGCCGGTGAAGATAGTGGGTCAACAAGTGAAGAAACTTAGGAATAAGGAGATTCCTATGGTAAAGGTTCTTTGGAGGAGTGATCGAGTCGAAGAAGAAACATGGGAGACCGAGGTCTCAATGAGGGAGCAATACCCGTTTCTTTTCGATTAGACACACGGATTTCGGGGACGAAATCCCAAATAAGGGGGGGTGAACTTGTAACACCGTCCCCAAATGTATTTACTTTTATGTAAATGATGTAATAAACCTTATGGAATGATTTATGAATTTACGAAGTTGTAAATTTTTATTTATTCTTTCGCGTGAATAGTAAATTGCACGTGGGACCCACACCGGGAGCGGGGGCCGCCCGATTTTCCCGAGACCATACATTTTATTCATCATGGTCTAGATAATAAATATGTAGTGGTGGATATTTCATTTGGGCCATGGAAAGGCCCGGAGTTGACCGATTGGTCAAAAGAAGCCCAAATTACCAGTACTGGTAATTTAACTGATAACAGCCCGAACTGAATTTCGGAGGCTTATAAATTAAAGTTGGGGAATGTATATTCATTATACATGTCATAATGAGTAAGAGCACATAATATATTTTATTTGACCCGATAAAATAAAATATATTTAAAACAGTCCGAAAAATACAACTTTCGGGACCGATTGTACACTTCGGGACACAAAGGGTTGACCTCCCACATGAGTGGGGGCCAACCCACGAATTTGGACACTCAATATGGGGTGTTGGCCGCTGGAATGGGAATAGGAAGGTGGGAGGTGTTGGAGATTGAATGGAAAGGCATCAAAAGTACCTAAGGTGGACCCTCATTTTGCACTCATTGGATTAATGAGACAAAAGTCCATTCTCATCCCCCTCCCCTCTTCATTTTCGGCCAAGCTACAGCAAGAAGAGAAAGAAAACTCTTCTTCTTCCTTCCTCCATTGTTGAAGAGAGCTCATCAAAGAAGAATCACCCAAAAAGGAGCTAAAGTGCTAAAAGTGTGAAATAATTAAGGTAATGACCTTATTATAACTTTTTCTTTATTTTTCTTCTACCATATGAAGTATATAGCATATGAAGAACCTTTAGTATGGTTCCATATGCTATAAGTATGGATTCATGGGTTGGAAGGTGGTTCTACGTCCAAAAACGGACTTAGAAGCCAAAACGACCGGTTCACCGGAAAATAACCTTTTAGAGGTTATTTGTATTAATATGGGTTTTATGATTATAAAACCTTGTTAGGCACTTGTAAAGGGTATTTCAAGTGATTTCACAAAGTTGGAAAAGTCGCCGGAGTTGTCGCCGGAGTTGACCAAAAGTCGCCGGAGTTTCACCGGAGTTCAACCAAGAAGGGTGGAACTTCATAACACTAGTTCAAGGTGAGTGGACGGCTTAATATCTTATAACTTTTGGGTTAATTATGAGATTACCTAAATAAATGTTATATGAGTTCATAATGATGTTTAAAAGATATTTAAACATGTGATTAGCCAATAGGGTTAAGTTTGTATAAAAGAAATAAATGATTTATGCATGGAATATGATATGAGGAATTACATAAAATCCATATTTGTTTGAAAGGTATAAGGAACACCAAATGAACATTATCAATTTAATTACATGATGATTAAGTTGATAAGTGTAAGACTTGAAATGGCGGTCAACGACACCGTTGACCGGTGGATAATGGATTAATTAATATCGGTTGATATTAGTTAGTTATACATTTATAGAATCGCATGGTTTTGCATGGATTGTGATACATAAGCTTTATGTATTGAATTAGTATGAGTAACTAAGTGTGATATAAACTCTATCTAGGTTGATAGAAGGTTGATCATAGGAAAATATTTTGGTGGAGGACCCTAGTACTCAAAAGTACTTAACACTCAAAATTTGGTGGAGGACCCTAGGACTTAAAGTCCTTAACACTCGGATTATAAATTGGTGGAGGACCCTAGTACTTAAGAGTACTTAACACTCAAACTTGGTGGAGGACCCTAGTACTCAAAAGTACTTAACACTCAAAATTTGGTGGAGGACCCTAGGACTTAAAGTCCTTAACACTCGGATTATAAATTGGTGGAGGACCCTAGTACTTAAGAGTACTTAACACTCAAACTTGGTGGAGGACCCTAGTACTTAAAAGTACTTAACACTCAAAACTTGGTGGAGGACCCTAGGACTTATGAGTCCTTAACACTCGCAAACCGGTGGAGTACCCAAGGATTATGATCCTCAAAACTCATAGATTATGATATTGAAATAGGGACAAGGAGGAGTCCTATACACTCATTGGTATATGGGTGGGTTGGGGTTTTTAGTCAAGAATATTGACTATTACTATTCTTCCCAAATAAAATGGTGATCTACGGATCGGATATTTTCCAAGTATATATTTATACTAATAAGTATTTCATAACTTGGGGGAAAGACTATCTATTTAAGTATCACCCTATGTTTGGGTCTTATACTTGAAACGCTAGTTATTCTATATTTAGCCTGCTACTCGCTCGGTACTTGTACTGACCCCTTCGGGGGGCCCCACCATTTTCAGGTTGAAGCTAGGGCTTGCTACTTGCACCTTCTCACGGGTGGTATCAAATCAGGAAGACGTGGTTCGTGCTTCCTTATTTTCTTTCAAACTACCGAACACTTGCTCATGGATATTTGTTCTACTATAAACTATTTTTGGGGCTTGCATGCCCATGTTGTTGGCCGGTTGTGGCCTATGACTTACCGTTGAATATTTTCCGCTATTCATTGGTTTAAATGTGATGTTGTTATGTATGTTTACTACTGAGTATGGATGGATTGTTTTCTCGAACGCCTTGTGTAATTGAGTGAGGTTGACTCGTGGGTGACGTCACTTAGTTATACGGCGGTTGTACACGCGCTTGGATTGCGGTCTGGGGCGTGACATGAGGTCGCACGGAATCCCACAGGAATTTTCCTTTGTCAACGCAAATACGTGCTTGACATTTTGGCCGAGACGGGGATGTCCGGATGCAAGCCAGTTAACTTTCCTATGGTTCAGAATCACCGGTTGCAATCGGATACTAGTCCGTATTTTTCTGACCCCGAGCGGTATCGGAGACTCGTCGGGAAACTCATCTATTTGACTTTGACCAGGCCTGACATCTGCTATTCTGTACATATTTTGTCACAATTTATGCAGAATCCCAGGATGGCTCACTGGGAGGCTGTACTTCGTGTCCTTAGATATCTCAAAGGACGGCCAGGCCAGGGGATTCTGTTGCGATCCGACTCATCTATCTCCCTTACTGGTTATTGTGATGCAGACTGGGCGAGTTGTCCTGTCACTCGTCGGTCTGTTACCGGTTACTTTGTCTCTTTGGGGTTCTCACCTGTGTCATGGAGGACCAAGAAGCAGGCCACAGTTTCTCGTTCTTCGGCGGAGGCAGAGTACCGATCCATGGCATCTTTAACCTGCGAACTAATTTGGCTACGGAATTTACTTCACTCCCTCGGTGTCACTCAGTCTGGTCCGGTTCGGCTCTTCTGTGACAATCAAGCCGCGCTACATATTGCTTCAAATCCGGTTTATCATGAACGAACCAAACATATAGAGCTTGATTGTCACTTTATACGAGATCATATTCAAGCCGACACTATTGCACCTTCTTATACATCCACTATAGACCAACCAGCGGACTTGCTCACCAAAGCCCTCGGAGTTCAACAATTCTCTTATCTACTTGGCAAGATGGGCATTTGTGACCCCCATGCTCCATCTTGAGGGGGGGTGTTAGCTATATTATTATAGCTATATTATTATTAGTTATTGTTAATTTATGTACATAATTTTTGTAACACTTTATTATGTATATACGCACGTAGTGGTAGACTTAGAATAAGAAAGATTTAGTCATTAATGTTTTCCATTCTTTTCTCCTTTGTAAACGTATAGCACTACTACGTACTAGGAAAGGGATGATGGGCACTACCTGTATAAATCAGATGCTTCATTCTCGATTGAAGGCAGTGGCGGAACCAGAACTGTTTATTAGGGGAGGCTAAGAAATAAATCAAAAGTTTACTATGAATTCAAAATATGTGAAATACAAAATATGTCAAAAAAACATTACTTTGAATTGTTAGATGAAGAAACAAGTTTAGACAACTATGGCTTGCGTGTTCGCATATGTTGAAAAAGTTTCAAAATTGCTTCGTTTCTGTTAGACCCCAGATTTTGATGAACTGTTTTTGATGATGCCAAAAGCTTTTGTTATCCCCTCTCTATTGTAGTATTATTATAGGAGTCTTTGTTATCCTCTTTTGTAACATCTTGCAGTTGTCTAGTACTAAGAAAATTATCTAGATGTGTCGTGCTCCTTTTATACAGTTAACAAATAAATATGACTGGAAAACCATAAAATGCAATAAGGCAATATTGTATTGCCTTAAAAGGATATCATATAAATCCAACCAGTTAAACTTATTTGTTACACACAATAACATCTCGTACAAATAAACTATTTATTTTAACTGGAAAACAAAATGCAATAAGGTAATTTTACCTTAATAGGAGTTGATATCCTACCAGTTAAATATTTAGCTTATCATGTTCGAAATACTAGATAAACCATACACTCAGAAGAAGAGTTCTTGATATTCTGTTCACTACAACAAATAACAATGTAGATTCTATATAACAAAAAGAACACACTGGGATTCAAAATGAAATAAGGTAAAGTTGTCTTTATCTTGAAATTGGATATTTAAATCCAACCAGTAAAGTGTTATTTGATATATAAATCAATGTGAACAAGAATAGTGAACAACTAACTGGAACACAAAATGCAATAAGGTAATAACTTTTACCTTAATAGGATTTGTTATCCTACCAGTTAAGTTGTCCACAATACCTGCTAAACTACACAAGTACTTAAAAGTGACAAGAATTCCAATGTACAAACTATGTATCAGAATTAAACATACTGGAACTATAAAATGCAATAAGGTAAAAATTATTTACCTTACGTGGATATTTAGATCCAACCAGTATAGCTTTAATTTGGTACATAAGTTTAATCATGTCACTTAAAGAAAGAAAGTGATTAGTAAAATAAGTGACAAATTTTACTGTGAAATTTGTACCAAATAAATTGTACTGGAAAGAACAAAATGCAATAAGGTAATCTTATTACCTTAATAGGATATTTCAAAGATCCTACCAGTACAAAACTTATTTGATACAAAATATCCTAAGTCACACATTTTACTACTTCACTACACAAATTAAGCAGGTTCACGCACTCAGCTTTACAAGTGTAGTTGCAAGACAAGGCTAATACACTCAGAACGCAAGAGGAGAGAAGACATCTGATTAGGTGAATAGTGAAGAGTTTCAGAATAGGCATGCAGCGATAAGAAGGCCTAAGGTATGGGTGTTATCTTCGTACAAAGCAAGTGGTCTTCAAAAGACAAATCCTTATCCTGCTCCAACACAAGAAGACGCAAGTACAATACTTTGGACGTCTAGGATTAAATCCTCTTAACCAACGGAGGAGATTAATCTACTGGAGATGCCTATAAAAATAGGCAGAAGCATGAGATCAAAGGTAAGTCATTGAGTTCAAAGCAAGTGGTTCAGTCATTACACTACGCATATCCAGCAAAAGAAAAAGTGCTTGAACACTCTGCTTTGACTCATGCTTCACTAAGCTCTTAGACTAGATCATTCATTGTAACATTTATAGAGCTTAGGTTTTAGTTGGAGGTTAGACACTTCGTGAATCAATTCATGTTGTTGTAAACACTTAGGAGAACAGTTGTTCGGATCCTAAAGTGTGGTTAGATAGATAGAGTACCTTTTGATCCCCACTGGATCAATTGAGAAAAGTCTAAGGACTGAGTAACTTTGAGTGGTGTTATACTCATCGTGAAAAACCTTCAATCTAGGCCAGAGTTGTCAAGGCTAGATTGGCACTAATTGTATTGGGCTGAATACTTTAGTGGAAATCCATCTGAAATAGGGTGGGACTGGAAGTAGGAGGATTACACCACCTCTGAACCAGGATATATCGTGTGTTGATTTACTTTCATACATACAGAAGCACACACCAAACACATCTCACTAAAGGATTGTAGTTTGCCAGCAGCATCCTAAGCAGTAGTCTTCATCGACTGTACTGCTTAGCCTACTGCTTAATAACTCACTCTCCTTGAGAGTGTTTTCCACTAGAAGTTATCTCACACTCAGAAGGTGCCTCAGCAGTACCCTGGTCTTCACCCTCCTGCTGAGCCCACTGCCCATTTATATGTGTCTTTCCGAACGCCATAACAAGCCAGAACAAAAAGCCATCCAAGAGTCATCCTGTTCTTAACAGTTGCCTCAGCAGTAATCTGCCCACCAGTCGACTGCTAACTCAGCAGTTGCCTGCCAGTCAGCAAACTGCCTGTGCAGCAGTAGACTAAGCAGTTATCTGCTCACCAGTCTACTGCCAAGCCTACTTCCTCTTGTCACCAGTCTAAACATCATCTAAACTAGAAAGTTGTCTCACACCAAGTATAAAGAGGTTAAAGACTTCCGCTGTGCATCTATTAATCTCTTAAAAGATTATAGATCAACTCATCTAGAGGGAAAACTTCATAAAGTTGAAAAAGATTTAAAAGTCTATTCACCCCCCCCCCCCTCTAGACTTTTACCTCTATCCGGGACCATCAAGTGGTATCAGAGCGGTGTGTTCCTAGAGTCAGTTTCTGACTATTTTTGAACTAAAGATCCAAATCCACTTTTATCCCAAAACTTTCTAAATGATGGATGAACAACAAGCAAAGAATCTGTTGATCAACAGCAACAAATCCAATGACTGGAAAACAAAGGATGTATGGGATGAACTCACGGAGAGTCAATCAGAAGATGATCAAAGCAGCTCAAATGATGAAAGCTGCTCATCAGAAAGGCAGGAGGAGGCTATTACTTGCTTCTTTGGAATGACTCCAGAAAATAGCTCCTCTCACAACTATGATATGGCCAGATCCCATGAAGGTGACAATGATGAGGTATTATCCTGTTCCTCGAGCAATTCATATTATTCCAACTCAACCAGTGTTGATATGGAGGCATTGCTCCATCAATTTGAAAACTTCCAAAAAGAGCACCTTAGCTTAATGAATGAAAACTGTAGACTTCAAGAAAATCTTTTAGTAGCTCATGCACAATTGGGTGAAGCAATCAAAAAGATAGATTTTCTTGAATGTGAAAACATCAGTTTGAAAGAAAAGCTAAGCTCCCTCACTCCCCCACTCACTAAGGAAGTTCAACACACTGAAAAAGACACAGGATACACATCATGTTCCCACTCATTGAAAAACTCTCCCAAATACTCTTCTACCACAAAACATACTTTCAAAGAAGACACAAAGTCTCTTAGCCACCAACACTCCCACATCCATATAGTTCCCACAAGAAGGAACATGTCTGCTCCTAAACCAAAATCAAAATCCCTGTACAAACAGAAACTTCCTTTCAAACAAGAAAACCAAAGAACCAGTTGGCAAAACACCAATAAGACCAACTACCCACCTAAGAAGCAGCTAAATCAACCTAGAAAAAATCACTCTTATCCTACACACAGGAGAGAGATGATAAACACATACACAGCCACCCCATCTGAATGCAACACTTCAAAAGGCTGTAGATCACACTGCTTAGGGGGAAATAGTTCTAAATGGGAATGGATGCCCAAATCTGTTCAAAGGAAGTTGCCCACTTCAATGTGGGCTACCACCACTCAACAATGATAAATACAGGAGGGTGCTGGAGCAACTAACTCAACTGAATAGTACATACATTCTAGTTGCTCTAAGCACATGACAAGGAGCAGAAGGCCACTGACAAACTGTTCAAAGGAAGAACCCAAAGAAACACTTGCAGAAGAGGAAAAGAGAAGAAGATATCAAAGGAGTTGGAGATTCAATCAAATGAAGAACTTACAAACCAATACACACCTTGTGTTGAGGTTTTAAAGTTCAATCAAATGCACAAACCAACTCCAGATCAACTGTTACATCTTCCTCAAGAGATGTAACTGTGCTTAAAGAAAGATGAAGGAAGGACCACCTAGGTGATGGAAGAAGAATAGCTGAGACCATCTCAAGAAGGTGACTCAGATGCCAGACTACTGCTAGCAGAAGACTCAGACTGAGAAAACTGCCAGCAGTAGGAAAAGATCAAAAAGGATCCTCACCAAAACTGAAGCTCACATTCCCCAAATTCCTCCAATTGTTAGACACAAGATGATGAAAAGCAGTAGACTCAAACAAAGCAGGTGGCAACATTCTCCTCAACAAAACAAGAAGACATCCATGAAGGGATTCATACTAGATCATTACTCAAAAGGGAAGCCAACTTCTCTCTCAACAAACTGAATCCAAGAAACCCTCTCAACTACAGACTGTATACAAACCATTCACAAGGAACTCTATCTTAGAGAAAGATGGTAACTTGTGCCCAACATCCTGAGAAGGGTATTCAAGAACAAAATGGATGAGGAAGGCACCATCATCAAGAAAGGCCAGATTAGTAGTCATAGGCTACTAACAAAAAGAAGAAATAGATTGTGATGAAACTTTTGCCTCTGTTACACGACTTTAAGCAAAAGGATACTTCATGCTAATGTCGTCTAATGAGCAAATCACTTTCCATCAAATGGCTGTGAAAATTTGCCTTCCTAAATGATCTACTAAGGGAGGAGAATGTATTCAAACTCTAAAAGAACTCTTAGTGAACTCTCAAAATGAAGAGAAATTCCTAGCCACCTGC